GGGGTGAAAGTTGACCACCGTAAAATCGAAAAATTTCTGGTGCTAGTCTGGCTAGTGTTGGCCTGTATTTAGTAACTGAAAATACTTTACAAAACTGTCAGTGCATTAAAAACAAAAAAGCAACACGCGATAAAAAAGATGTTCAAGTTCTTTTTAACCACTTTTATTTAATTAATCATCTCAGCGCTACAGCAGTTTATATTAATGACAAAACGAGGCTAGATCACCATTTATCGGTTCAGATGACACTTCTTCATTAAGCCTTAGACCGTTGACCGAATAGACGGCCGACAAAGGAAAAAAGACAACAATTTCAGTCGAGGTCGGCCTCTAAACTGGCCTCCGCTAGAAATTTAGCTGTTGACATTATTCTGTGACAACTCTTCAATTTAATTGGCCTTTAAATTTTTAGCGTCCAAACATTTGCACCATGAAAAGGTTTTATCAAATCATGGCGTACGGAAAATAAGCTCTGTAATTTACTACTTACAAACTATATTGGCAGCAAGGTTTTGACTGTGAGTGCGTCGTATAATGAAGTTGGTTTATTCAGTGCCATTGCATTTGTTTGTTTCTTGAGTCAAAGTAAAACTCGCGCGCTTTCTGTGAGCTGCCCCGTCTTCTCATTGTCTTTATATTAATACCAAAGCGTCCCTAATAAGCATTTTTATCAAGCCCAACACCAGCGGATGAAGTAATCAATCTAACGCTCCTCAAACGAAATGGGATAAGTGACCAAACGCCTGGCATCCCAGGCGTACAACACTTTTTCTCTGGGGTTGTAGGCCACCATAGAGGTGCTATGGAACTGATTGGTGAACTGAATATAGGGGTTCCATTGTCTTCCAGTCTTGGTGTCGTAAGCAAAGTTGATGGTCGTGGACCTTGAATCATAGCTGTCGATACAGTAAATCACTCCACAGGCCACAAATGCATTTCCCATTGAGCTCATAACTTCTGCAAAATAACATTAAATGGAAACTCGGAGTAAGACAAAAAAACGTATATGCCACTTATGGTATAAAACCTCATTCAACTAAGCAACGAAATTGCGAAGTTTGCTAAATTAAATGATATTCAGTTTAAAAACAAAGGATGCGCATTTGATGGGGGAAAAGATGATGACGACCGTTTGCTAACTGACAGGTTATAGCAATGGTTTAGTTTACTTATGGTGAATCTAACGAGTTCCAGAAACCCCTTTACACTTCATGACATTTTGTATTTTAACTTAAGGAGCTCTAAGAAGGCGTAAGCCGAGTACCTGAATTTAAGTTCCAAGCTTGGGTTAAGGTTCCTTTGTATACATCTATCATTTGCGCTCTTAGTCTGTTGCTGTTTCCACTGTAGCCCCATAAGGCCCACAATCCTTGTTCGTCAACTGCCAGATCAACTTGAGAGTAACCACCCCACTGGTAATAGGTGTTCCTCGCTGAACCCGACAAGCTTATCTGCCTTTCCACACGTTCAGTACGCAAATTGTACTTTACGATATTGTTCGTAGCCTCTCTGCCATAACAACACAGCAACACCACCATTTGTTAGTATCAGTGGAGAATATTTCTACCATTTATATAGCCAGGGACGGCGGAGCCGGGAGGGCTGGAGGGGCTTTAGCCCTCCCAATTTTAAGCAAATAATAAAACTTTAAAAATAAATAGAAAAATACAAATAATTAAAAACTCAAGTAGTTTTAAGGCCAAGGACTAAGGGGTTTACCTTAGAAAATGAATTATTGGCTATAACTTTGGCACAGATGATGGTACTGGATCAAAATTTGGCACATATAAAGAACTCATCGTCCTTAACATTTTGAAGTACAACTATTGTGTTTATAGGTCACGTGATATGTCACATGACCATTTAGCTAAAAATCGTAAACTATTACCCAATTGGTGGCCGGTTAAAGAAAAGAAATCGAGAAATAACATTTTTCAGATTCATATTAAATATTTCAAACACTTGACGTTTGGAATGACCGTCCGTTGCCCTTCAGTAAAAATTATGAGAGAAAACAAAATTTTAAATGCCCAACTTTAATCTTGAATTATTTAGAACTTTAATTTTAAACTTCGCGTACATTCATTCCAAACGTAGAAAGTTAGGTCTGTTTATCTTCTTTCAGAAATGCTAATTTGTTTATCCAAACAAAGGTAACTCGCCTCCAATTCGCCAATTTCCTTAATTTTCAATTTCTGGTCACGTGACATGTCATGTGACCATAATTAAACGTTAAGGCACAAGAAAACCTAAAGATTTACTTTTGGGGAAAAATTTATTTTGTTGTAGGTCTCCTAGCGAGAGATATTGCCAGTCATTCTTATGTTCAGAACACACCTTTGACCCAGGCCTTAAACCCCTTGAGAAACCCATAAAACATAAAAAAGAAAACTAACAGAGGGAAAAACAAAACAAAATGAGCAAAAAATTAAGACAAACAGATTTAAGTAAGATTTAAGTGCTCATACGGCGAGCCCCTTTACGCTTCTTTCAGGACATTTTGAGGGAGGTCCAAGTTCTGCAGCAAATCGAGCGAGAGTTGATCGACCACGTCATTGTTGTTTGCAAGTTGATTTACGTCAATCCTGCGACAAGTGCAACAGGGGAGAGGTCCTTCTCAACAGCCAGACGAATCAAGACGTGGCTTCGATCAAAAATGTTGCAAGCACGTTTCAACCATCTCGCGATCTTGAACATACATTAAGATAGATTTGATAAGCTTTGTTTAGTTTCTGTGGCAAATTCATTTGTATCCCTGAACGAAAATCATGAAAGGAATGTCGGCTAATTTACTACTGCTGACCTCAGCTGTTGAACTTGTTGTTTTCCCTACTTGCTGTTACGGTACATGCATTGTTCCAGGAAATTTACTTCAGCCTATCAACTCAGTTCTTTTCCCTTCGTATTCTCACTATTCAGCTTGTGAATAAAAACAATAGACGACTAGGGACAAGTTAGGAAAATCGGTATTTGTCAAAATCCGACTTGTCAAAACTTTGCAATTTGTTTTATACTTGAAATTTGTCATTTCCTGTCAAGATTAGCATCTTAATGTAACACAAGTGATTTTAAACCACTAATTTTGAACATTCTCCTTCTTGTCGAGCCTTTGTAATAAAACAATTTCCTGAGTGTAGGCACTTAAAGGCCGGAATATACGTAAGGCTGGGATACATGTATTAAGTTATATATGTATCAAGTAACAAATAAAAAGTAAAACATCTGTTATTTTAAGGTTGATCCACGTTTATTTTTTTGATATCTCGTCTAGAATGCTAAAAGTAGCATTTCCGAGCTCCAAGATTTCAAACTTTTCTGGCGGAGAATTCCCCCAGAACCCTTACAAGTTAGCATCTCTGGCGTTTGCTTGTTAGCGCCTCCTCCCGGCCCCAATACGAAAAACCTATGTTATAAGAGATTATAAACCCTATGTTATAAGAGACGAGGTCATGATCTTGATTTCCCTTACTAGGAAATACTCTTAAAACTGGTATGTCACCAAATTTGTATTATCAGCGCCCCAGAATTAATTTTTTAAAAAAATGGTCCACGCAGGCATTAAACGACACCTTTGATTAATTTTTTTATATATGCGACCTTTTATTGATGATTATCTTTTAAACCCTTGTTTTGCCGTTCGCGCTACTCGATCAGATTAAAAGAATATTATAACGAGGAGCAAGGGATGGCGCAGTGGTGAGAGCACTCGCCTGCCACCCTTTGCTCCGAGAGGTTTTTCTCCGGATACTTCGGTTTTCCCCACTCCTCAAAAACCAGCTTTTCCAAATTCCAATTAGACCAGGAATCAGGTAGACGAAGAACCACTTTGTGGATGTGCTACCTCCAAATCATTATTTATTTTATTTAAATATAACGTTTATACCTGTTGTAGTAAAGGTAAGGTCCATACACTACTCCTCCTGTTCCGTCCCAGTTATAAGGCAGTATGTACTTCTTACGAAGGATGCCTGCTTTGAATGTGTCCATGTTTTCAAACTCTTCAAGCTCGTTTCTACCGGAGTAGCTGGCCATAACGAATATGGTCTCAGTACCCATAATTCCTAGCGGATCTTTCATCCATGCTCCGTAATAATCGGACCTGGCGTTGTGAGTCACAGGCTTACCAATTGACTTGATGTGAGTGCAGCTATCTGCAAGAAAAAGACAATGTCTGACTGATGATAACTTCCTAACAGAATATCAAATGGTGAAACGTCAGTTACCTTTCTTTTGTAATAAAGAGTTCTATTGGAGGTACTGCGACCGCGGTACGGTCGTCAAAAAGAAAAAAACCGGACCAGTTAAGTCACCATTTCTGTGTCTTCAATTTCGGGCCTGTGGCCACGTTTTCAATTACCTTCTAATCTAACTTGGGCTATCTTTGTTTGTCATTTTTTAACAGCTTTTATATGAGTGCCTTTAGCAAAGTCGAAGAGTCAAGTGAGCTTCGGCCATTCTAAACAAACATTTACATCTTTTAGATACCTAGGAACTCATCAAACAACCTATTCTTGAAAGTTGTGTGTTATGTCAGGAAGTTTCAGGAGAGTTCACCTTGACAACCTTTGAATAGATGGTATCATAACATTGAATTTTGACAATTGAAAGCACGTTCGGTGCAGAAGGACACAAAGGTGGTCATTAAAAGTTTCCGGCTTTAGTGACAAAGCCGTTTAATTAACATAGACTGTTTGATACACCATTTGCATTTCTTATATTTGGTATTTGGGACCTTTATACTTCGCGCATAATGTATATCACCGAGGTTGTTTTGCGTAGTTAATAACCAGTGCTAACGTAACCTAGTAGTAGTATTTGGGCACCGAAGAAAGATCAGAGAAAAGCAAACCTTCTTGAAGAATATAAACATTCTCCTTAGCTTTGTCCAGGTCATGCTGCTCATTTATGATCATCTTCAGCAACTGAAAATGTGAAAAAGGGGAACGGATCATCGAGACAGCTGTCATTTAGAATTAACAATTAGACCACAATATAGACAAACAACTTAACTATTAACAGTACTAGTATTCAGAAAGCAGATGCCCCCAGCCCCCCTCCCCCCCCAAGTAAAAATTTCTTCTTCCACCTCACCCTCACCACAACCTAAGGGGTCTCCTCGAAGTGAAACTTGACTTTAACTATGTCAAGTTAAATATTTTAAGTAGTACTGAAGGTGCTATTTTTATCTAACTTATTTAGAATAATACTACTTACATGATTTTTTGCCAGCTCAAGAGCAAGGTCTTTTGAATTACCATAATTATAAGATCGCTTGTTCCGTGGTTTTACTGAGGAACTTCCGAGACCGTTTTCCTGCAAGTTTATTGAAGGTATCAGTTTATCAGAAGAGTCATAAAAGGAAGTGGAGGAGAAATTTAGAAAAACCATAGGAATATATAAGAGTACAGGGGCAGGGAGACTTGAGGGTACGCTACGCTATTTGATAATATCTTAAATCTCAATTGAATAAGTGCCTAAAGTCCAATTATGTTGTTTGCAAAGCAAAAATACGGAAGATCGACTCACTTTAAAGTTGCAAACACTTTTCAGGCAATAGTTCTGGGTTTTGCCTGATATTTTAATGTCACATAGTAGCCTATCATCACTCTGTATTAACTTAGAGCTCATGCAAAGAATATGAGGATGATTATATACCTAGAAAACGATCCCGTTCTTTTACCAAATGAGTTTGCCAACAAAAAACATATATGCATTCGAGAATCGTGAGAGACATTTCACTGATCTTTGTGGTTTATTTGTAATTAATGTAGCTGGATTTTTGAATACCGGGTACAAGGGAGTTTTATTTTATTTTAAACGATCTTTATCCAGAGTGCCCGGTTCAGCAAGGCTGGTTCGAATGAGGCCTGGATGGAAAGAACAAACAGCACAAAAGACAATAACAGATAAAAAATGGAAAACTAAGTATAGCAAAAGGATCGGAGGCTCAATTTGGCTTGGATCTATAAGTGTTTTTTTACGCCAAACCTAAACTTATTTAAATCATGCGGCCGCCCCCCAAGCCGACCGTCTTCGCTCGGCTTGCTCGTTGGCAAAAACGAGCATGAAAATACCTACTTCTACAAACAAAACCAAAAGAAGAGCAAGGATAATGATTCCTATCACAATGAATCGACGATAACTGCGCAGGGGCGTATCCAGGATTTTTTCAAAGAGGGGGTTGTAATTTTGAGAATTCAAGGCAAACGTTCCAAGGCTAAGGGAACTGGGGAAGGGAAAGGATGGGAATAGGGAAGGGCTAGGGTAATGTTTGAATATATTTGACAATCTCAGTCTTGGAACATCTATTACAAGCTCCTGGTAATTGGACAGGTCAAATCGGACAGTTTTGGAGTTACAAAAGCAAAATTAAGAACCAATCAGATTCAAGCATTTTGTTATTGACACAATTATTAAGAGTTCAGTGAAGCAACGATAGTTGTTTGTCTCTTTTTTACCCACCTATTTAATCAAACAGACTAGCTTAAAAGAGCCCTCTTAGATGAGCCTTTACAAAGGCTTCGAATATCTCGTCTACCTCGAATCTCTGGGAGTAGTACATATCACTGCGAGATCAGAAAATTGCTCCATTGTTGACCTAGAGCAGGTCTTGATGCATTTTATCAGTGAAAAAAATCGCTCAGCTTCTGCGATTGTGATCGGTAGAGTGCAGGCAACGACTAGAAGGCGATAGATGTTTGGGAAAGCAACTTCGTCGCAAACATTAAGTGCTAATAAAAGGTTGTTGGGAAGCTCCCTATCTGGTGACTGCCAGAGTGTTTTCCATCTACATACCTCATTTCCAAGGGATTTGAGGAAGGAGGGGGGCGTAAGGGTTTGCGGTATTGCGGTATTAGGTTATTTTTGGTGCGGTGTTGCGGTAATTTTTATTTCAAAGTACGGTATTGCGGTTTTCCCAGACCAAGCGGTGTGCGGTGAGTTTAAATTTTATGTCGCGGTACTCGGTGAAAAAATCGTTATGTCGCGGTGATCTGCTTCTTTTTCATGCGAAGAGGATAAAAGTCCTAAAAGGTCTCCCTAGCTAGCCAGCGTGACCTGCGTGTCTTCCTGTAGTTGCACAGTCGGGGANTTAAGAGTTCAGTGAAGCAACGATAGTTGTTTGTCTCTTTTTTACCCACCTATTTAATCAAACAGACTAGCTTAAAAGAGCCCTCTTAGATGAGCCTTTACAAAGGCTTCGAATATCTCGTCTACCTCGAATCTCTGGGAGTAGTACATATCACTGCGAGATCAGAAAATTGCTCCATTGTTGACCTAGAGCAGGTCTTGATGCATTTTATCAGTGAAAAAAATCGCTCAGCTTCTGCGATTGTGATCGGTAGAGTGCAGGCAACGACTAGAAGGCGATAGATGTTTGGGAAAGCAACTTCGTCGCAAACATTAAGTGCTAATAAAAGGTTGTTGGGAAGCTCCCTATCTGGTGACTGCCAGAGTGTTTTCCATCTACATACCTCATTTCCAAGGGATTTGAGGAAGGAGGGGGGCGTAAGGGTTTGCGGTATTGCGGTATTAGGTTATTTTTGGTGCGGTGTTGCGGTAATTTTTATTTCAAAGTACGGTATTGCGGTTTTCCCAGACCAAGCGGTGTGCGGTGAGTTTAAATTTTATGTCGCGGTACTCGGTGAAAAAATCGTTATGTCGCGGTGATCTGCTTCTTTTTCATGCGAAGAGGATAAAAGTCCTAAAAGGTCTCCCTAGCTAGCCAGCGTGACCTGCGTGTCTTCCTGTAGTTGCACAGTCGGGGATCGTATATTGCGCAAAGACGCAAAGACGAATCGTATAGCTTGTAATTTCAGTTAATACTTGATAATGATTAACGACATTAACTTTTTTATCCAATGATACGTAAACAGTGGCATTATTTATGACCTCATGGACCTTGTGGGAGTAGTCAGCTTGGTTAACCTCCTTACGAATCTTACCACCACTTTCTTGCCAGTCGCGAAACAATGGCGAGCGATCCAGAGGGTCAACTAAGTGATTAGTCAGATATTCCAGCAAATTGAGGTCAGTGAGGTCGTTATAAATTGCGTACTGTCGAAACATAACCTATGAAGATGATGTGGTCTAAAATTTACTACTCGTCCTTCTCGTTGTGCATGCAGAAATATAGAATGTACAAGTATTCGTGTGTGCTTAGCCTACGTAGCATGGCAACCCGGGGGAGGGGGCGGGGTTTCTTCCTTACAAGAGGCTAATGGGGATGTGCCGCTGGATGGGGTCGCATTTTCACGACTGGATTGACTATAATGGGGTCGCATTTTCAAGAGAGTTACTAGAATCGGGTCGGGCATTTTCTGATTTTTGGGGGTAAGACAGTTCTTCATATTTACGGTTAGCAAACGATTCATTCAATCTAAAAATTGTCAATTCATAAAAATAGAACGTGACTAAGCTAGGAACGCGAAAATTAAGTATTTGTCCAAAACTGACTAAGATGGGGTCTTTAATTGGCCACAGAATAGACTATAATGGGGTAGGAGCTCTGAGAGGCCAGCGGCACGTACCTACCAAAAATTAACCCAAGTAACCCCGTTGTGTCATTTACGTAAACGTATACATGTAATGAACAAAATTAAACGAGTGCGACGATCTTATGTTTATCGCAGGCTTGACTTCGACGCACCATGCTTGACTTGGAAACACTGACATAAAAGTATTATTTCTATTTGAAAGAAGGATTTGTAGTAGTGACAACGTCAACTTTTTCCCATTTGTAACTGCGGTTTCGGTATTTGGCTAAATTTTGATGCGGTATTGCGGTATTCTCGCGCCACCATGTGCGGTATTGCGGTATTCGTACCCCCCTTACGCCCCCCTCAGGAAGGGAATGTCTTTCTCCCAGAACAGCATACCTTTTACTTCACCCGATCTAGCTGCAGTGCCTTACTTACTATAATCGATGATACGAGACAAAGCAGATGGCGGGCGTGGCGATCTTCTTCAGAAAATCGATCTTGAATTGAATAATTAAGGAGTCAAGAAGAGGAATAACTAGGACCTACAGTCTTCTTGTAATAATCCATTGTGGACTCAGGAACTTATATTATAACTTATAATATTACTTTTGGTATGAAAAAGGGACAGACACAGGTAGCCTGCGTAGTTGTCGGTATTGTGTAGTAGTCGAGTGAGATTTGGCAGCGAAGCGATTGTAATATAGTCGAGTG